TACTTTGTTGCAGTAATGTTGACAAATAGGCTTGGCTTACTCTAAAATAGTTTTAATGTGAAGATGAAATGAAAATGTAGAGGAAATTTTAGGCTAAAAGATGTTTATCATTAGCCAGTGCACCTGCCATCAAAAATTTGCCCTTTCCATATTTTCTTTGTCATATAAGTCTTTGGGTTGGAAGGGACCTTTAAAGGTCATCCAGTCAAACTCCCCTGCAATGAGCAGGGACATCTTCATGGAACTGCCTTGTCAAAAGGAAAACACTCTGCAGTGTCACGACAAGACAGTCATCCCACTGCGTGACCTCTGTGTGCAGAGAACGTGAGCTTAAGCCAGTGAGGAAGTGAATGGAGTGACTCCATGTGACTGTGGAGATGAGATGGTGGCATGTGAGGTTCATGCAAAAAGCCAGAGCAGCAGCAGACAGGCGCTAACCTTCCCACGGGAGATTTTGGAGGTTCCCTGATATTTCTGAGGAAAGGAAGTGAGTAGTGACCTGCATTATGCAGGGCTGGTAAAACAGAATTGAGGAGAAAACAGCCGGAATCTTTCCCTTCATAAACCCTTCAGCCCCTTCTCGGTAGGACTGAGGAGTTTTGTGTGACACCTCGTACTATGGGTTTCACTGTTCTAGAAAGCATAAACAAGATTCTTGATAGCAAAGGCAGAGCTGTCCTTTGCAGCTTCTCAGTGCTGTTTGTCTGCAGGGCCTGCAGAACATGTCATTGCTCCCTGCAATCATCCAGACATTTTCTTTCCATTCCCAGTGCTTGTGAATGAGCAAGAGGGCATAAGCAACTGCAAAATCCATCCTTATATTCCTTCTATGCACTTTTTACAGCTTTCCCACGTACTTTGATAGCAGAAAAGGCAAGTCGCTCACTCAGCCTGCAGTCATGGTCTTTCTTGAGGTCAAATTTCAGTTTACCAGTTATAAGCAAGTACAGAGATGTGTTGTGGTCTTTCCTTACTTTGATTGAGATGCTTTTATGTTACTATGAGCCGGTACTGCTCTCTCTGTTTGTGAGTAATGGTGACAGGTTAAATGCCAGGGAGGGCCCCTCTCTTCCATTGTCCTGCCCAAACCACAATACTCCTATGGAGGTTCTTTAAGGAGTGCAAAGTTCCTGTGCAAAAGAAACAAGTATGCTTTTCATGCAGGGATGTCCACCCATTGTTCCAATAACTGTCCCAGATACAAAGTCTCTTCCTGAACTTGGCTGCTTGGACCTTCTTAGAAAATGCTGATTGTATGCTACTAGTCTCTCTTGAGGAGAAGAAGAGGGCCTTCAGTAATGTCAATCTTCATTCAGTCTCTGTTGTCTTACATGTTGCTAGCATCATCAAGAATACTTTTTATGAGCATTTCATACCTATGGATAAAGATCTGGTTCTTGCAGATCAGATTCTTGATTACTTGCCATTGTTGTTTAATTCGAGAAAGCAAAAATCTTGGAATTTAAAAAAATTCTTAGTGCCTTAAAAACCAGCATCTTAGTAGTTTTATTTTGCAACACTTGGAATTCACAAAGAGCTTGCATTATGAAGTTACAGAGCTACTTATACTGGATGTGTTCTGTTACTTGTTTTGAAACAAGAAAATAAAACTCAGAGAAACTTCAACCCTTCAAACATTACTTGAGAAACAAACAAAAAAAAAGTAAAAAGTACAAAAACTAAAGGAGTGTGATCGATTCATCAATCATGTATTTGGGCTACATTAACATGGAGGAGTTGATTTTGTTGGCCTTGAACAGATAAAGAGCTTCTTTGTTTTTGAGCTTCATTTCTGTGAGAAGTGTCTTTGGCTCAATGACTGTCCCATAAGATGGGATGTTGCTAGTTTTGTGATGGGGGTTGCTGCTGGATGACTGTGAGAAAGAAAATCATCCTGGGAGCTTCTAACTTGGTGTCTCCTCAGTGGTAGGGCTCACTGCTTTAAGACTGATTTCTCTGTGATTGCCATTGGCACTTGCTGTGTCACAGTAAGATGATTGCAGATACAACCACCACTCCTTCTCCTTTGAATGGTCTTATCAGTCATACAAATGCTACAAATCTTACCACTATTGTATCATTTCCAGTCTCCTCCTTTCATGACTGGAGTAGCAAAGTTAAACTTTCAGTAGGCATTGCCTTAAGTGCTATTTTAATGATTATTTTGATTGATATTATTAAATGGCCCTTGACTTCTAACTAAATCAAGGCAGATGGAGATGTTGGCATGAGGCAGGATGTGACGAAGCAGGTCTCTGGTGGTGTTAAGAGAGAGATGTTGGATAAAACTGCAAAGAATTAAGAGCTCTTGGAGGAAAATGTGTGATGTATGTCCCTGCCGGCAGTTTAGAAGCATCCTGGTTACAGAGGGGCATTATGGTGCCTGTGGAATTATACTCCCCTTCAGAGCAGGTGTGCAGACTGGTGCTAGGACAGTGACAAGCAGTTGCAGGCTAGGAGGAGAATTGCAATTCCTCACTGGCTCTCAGACTGAGAGGAGCAGATTGTCTGGGAGCAGGCTGCTGACCATGATGCTGCTTCTGCACGATTAAAAGGGGTAAAGCTGTCCTCCAGAGCAAATGTGTAATTCAGCTTTTTGTTTAGGGAGTGACTGTGGTGGCCTAAGCATGCTATGAAAACCAATCAACTTGTTATCTTTTCATGATTATTTATATTCAATCTAATTAGCTGATTTCCCCCTTCTTCTACCTTTCTGTGGCTGCTTAGCATAAGTGAAGGGAGGATGCAGGGTGGCCTTCTGAGGAGCCTTAATGTAAAAATGTGGCTTTAAGAATGAGTCAGCTTTGTTTCACTCAAATGTCTATCCATCGTCTTTCATGGTTCAGTGGGTTTGTACATATATTCTTCATTGCTGGAAACTCTTGTTCAGCTGAAATAACACCTTTGTCAAGTGACATTTTGAAAATCCCTACTTTATTTTTGTCTGTATTAATACTATTATCTCGTCCTTTCTCATCAGCAGATTTCAAAACCCTTTCTCAAAAGAGGAGTAGCATTGTCCACTGCAGCTTGGTGCATGTGGGAGGGGGGTTTGTTCAGGTGACAGAGGAGGAAGCCACCCGTGTTCAATGAGCTCCAGCCTCAGGACCTGATTTCCTGAACCCGTTAATTTAACATGAGCTCTTCTTTGCACCCAACCCAGCAAAGCTGCTCAGAGCTCAACTTTCAGCTCAGCTCAGCTCAGTTGCTCTCCACACATGCATTGAGCAGCTGTGAATATTACTGGGAGAACTGCGAGAGGCTATTTGGCACAGAGGAACAAGACAACATTCTCCTGGGAGGAGTTCTGGCTGCACCAGGCACTCTCTGCAGCAAGGGAAACGTGCACAGGCCATGGGGTACAAAGCTGAGCAATGACATGAGGCACATTTGAGTTTTGTGTGGGAGAAGGGCTCTGCACTGCCTCTGTTTGTGGCATTGCTGCATGGCTGCTGGGTGCACCCCATTAATTCCACAGCATCCTTTCTCACCACAGAGTTTGCCCAGACCTGGATCAGCCTGCAATCCATTCCCTGATAACACTCTTTGCCCTGGATGTCTCTTACATCACAGCTGTCAAGAGCCTTCATCTTGTTTGTTCCTTGTTGATCCTCATTTTTGCCAGCCTAGCACAGGCAGCCTTTCCATTAGTCTGGAAAGCAAGGACCATTCTTGCTGACTAGAGGGATCATAGAGCAGGACAAAAAAAAAAAAAAAGAAGCTGCAGTGGAAGCTGTCTGGCTTCCAGGGCAGCTCCCAGTGCCTCTGCTGTCAGCATCACCAGCTGTGAGGATGATGTGCCGTGCCCCCTTGGAGATGTTATGATGGCTTCAGTGTCATCTGGGAGAATTTGAGGCACCTCACACTTTAAATTTGTCTTCCTTTACAAAATAGGTGATGGGTGGCATAACCCACTCTTTCTATCAGTTTTCCCCAAGGGATTTACATAGTGGATTCTAACGTTTTGAGTATTAAGAATTTATGTATTTTTCTTGAAAATAAAGGTCCTATCTTACTTCAAGTAATGTCTTCCACAGCTATTATGATTATCTGCATTAATGCAGACCCTTGCTTGTCATCCTCAGCAAACAGCAAATGGTAGTGCATTCCCAAAATTATGATGGATACATGTGTGTGTGAGAATTCAGAGTACTGCATTTTATCTTCAGTCTTATATCATGAGAGAGGTCACATGGAGATGAGCTTCAATTTACGTCTCTCATTGAGAGAGATGAGCACAATGGCACTACAATATTTTAACATTTCTTCTTCAGCCCTTTCCTGATGCATTTTAATTCCTTGTTTGCTCTTTGCAGCCTTGGCTGAATGCAAGCACTTTATTACTGACAGTGTAAGAAAAGAATTCATCTGGTTTATAGTAAGAAACCTGAATTGTTTCCAGAAAATTGTTTCTGAATTGTTGTCCAGCAAAAAGACACACCAGAAGTATCTTCTAATACATATTTTTCAATTCTTAATTTGTCTGCTACCACATTACTGATTTTTTGCCTCTTTTAAAATAATTTTTGTGCCAAAATCTAAACACTGCTCTGTGAGTTTCCTTCCTGTTACAGATTTCTCATGAATTAATATCCTGTGAGTGGCTACTGGGGTATCTCATTGTTTGCATTTTGCTGTTATCAAATGCAAGGTCTTTATGTGTGGTTTCTAAGTTATGAGAGACTCTTTCTACACAATCTCTGTTTTTACTTTCTTTTGTTCTGCCAGATACATCTCCAGCGAATTAAAATTGAGTTTTGGGGTTAAGTATTTTTGGAAGAAAGGATATTCATTTTAAAATAAATACTTTTAACCAAGATGCTTCAAGTTTATTCATGCATGCTGGAAAATAAGTTTTTTTAAACACTTTTATTCAAAAATATTCAAAATATTTTCCATTTTAATTAAAATACAGAAGTGCTATCCTGAATTACAGTGATAAAGTAATTCAAAATGCCTATATATACATATTATATGGGCATGTATGTCAACCTGAAAAAAAATGCACCTACAATGAAAAGTAATGTCTTTGCTTTGAGTCTTTGTGCACGTAGAGAATATATTTTGTCCTTTTTTCTTAATGACAGGGGATATATCATCCCCGCTGAAACAAAACATTTAAATGTAGCAGGTACTGCTAATAGCTGCCTAAGAGTCACAAGTGAACAAGTCCTACACAGATCAACTGCAGAATAAAAAAGTATGGTTACAATCATCCCTCTCGAATACATGGATATGTTTTCCCAAGTGCATGTGCTGATGACAAGGTGTTCTCTCACCTCTGCCCATCAATGTCTTGATGCTGGTGAAAAAGAAGCCACGCAATGCAGTGCTTTGCACAGAGCTGAGCAGTGATTTGTAATCACAGCAGAGAAACCTTGCATGTCCGTCCTCAGTCTTCCACATTTGGGACACCTTCTGTCATAATACTCGGAAAATCTAGAGGCACAAATAAAGCTGAAGTAATTATCCGGCACTAGCTTATTGTTAAATGTGTCTGCATTTGCTTAGCTTTTCAAAGTTCCTGCTGTTCGAAGTTCCTGCTTTTTGAAGTCCCTGCTGTTGTCAGTTTGCTTGCTGCTGAGTTCAGTGGCTGGTCTGAAATGCGTTACAGAGCGTCTTGGTCCCCTGTAGACTGTGTGTGGAATGAGCTGGTAGATTCAGTGTGGTAGGTGATGTGAACTCCACACCACTTGCAGAAATACCCTGGCAACTGCCAGTTCTTAAAGAGCATCTTCAGGTACTTCTTGAATTTCTCCCCCATGAAGAAGTAGATGACTGGGTTGAGGCAGCAGTGAAAAAGGCCGAGGATTTCCGTTACCTGGAAAGCATAGTCCAGACTCCTGCTCACTTGACAGTCTTTAATGACGCCCATAAATTCCAGCAGTTGTAAGAAAATAACAATGTTGTAGGGGGTCCAAAAAAAGAAAAACACAATCATGACAACAAAAATCATCTTCACAGCCTTATTCTTTTTGTCATTTCTACAGTGAACTAATGTTTTAATGATCATGGAGTAGCAAAATGTCATAATTATAAAAGGGATTAGGAGCCCTAAAATGTTGACTTCCAAAGTGGAAAAAAGCTTCCATGTTGTGAAATTGCCTGGAAATCTCGGCTTGCAGGTAGTAAAATTATGTTCATTAAAAGACTCTCTAAATACAAGCTCGGGGACTGAGGCTGAAAGAGCTACCAGCCACACAACAAGGCTAGTAATCAAGCCATGGAAGGTGGTCCTTGCTTTCAAGGAAAGCACTGCACGAACAATTGCCAGATATCTGTCTATGCTCATAAGCATAATAAAAAATATCCCACTGTAAAACCCAACCAGGTAGATCCACGAAATGATTTTACACCAGGGAGTTCCAAAAACCCATTGGTCTACTGTGAAATAAGACCAGAATGGCAAGGACAAAACGAAGAGCAAATCTGAGATGGCGAGGTTTAGCAGGTACACATCAGTCATGCTCTTCAGCCTCTTGTATTTGAAGAGGACCACGATGACCAGAATGTTTCCAGCGAGCCCAACCAGGAATACCAGGGAATACAGAATGGGTAGGAAGGAGGCTGCAAACCTCCTGACGCCTTCTTTACTGCATAGTTTTGGAGCATCATAATAACTGTCGTAATATTCATAAAAGGTTGAGGGTTCGACTTCAAGGGACTCTGTGCTTGAAGAACTCATGTTTTTTCCCCCGGTTCTGAGAAGGGAAGAATATAAAAATGTCAGTGACTTTCAGAGTATCAAGACCTCATGGTTACTCCACAGACCTGAATCACGAGTGACAGCTTGGACACGACTCACTGCAGGTTGTCAGATATTATGTAAGCATTATGGGATGGATGCATTGAACAAAGTATTGTCCTTAGCATGCATGTACTTGCAGTGCTGTGCAACTTGCATGTCAAGCACAAAGGGACGTTCAAATGGATGACAGGAAAGCAAATGGGAGTGAAAGAAGTGGGCCGCAAGTGTCAGATCAGAGAGGGTTGAGTTCCATGCTGAGCAAAGTAAAAAGCAAACTCACTGTTCACAGCAGTTCAGAATTTCACTCGCCCACCTTTCCCATCAGGTATATGTCACCCACCATAGGAAGACAGTGATAAATATGCATCAGACTTTTCTTACGAAATTACCTTTACTGAAAGCTGTCATGAGCTTTCAATAAGGGCTTATTTTCAGTGGCTAAATGAATAACAGGAATTTGTCATCTTCATATGTATGTCCTTTTCTAATAGGCAGATACAGAGTTTTAAGTGATGTAAGTTGAACACAGGGAAAATATCTTGCTGATTTATGAGTCTATATGTTATTCACATCACAGCATCATTCTTTTAGCCTAATATGCCAGAAATTTAAGTCTGAGTTCTGTTCTTACTTGTGTGCGTTATTCACATCACAAGTGGCATTTTTTTAGCCTAACATATCAGAACTCTAAGCCTGTGCTATTTTCTTCCCCTTTGTCTTAATTTCATGAATGGAAAGCAGAAGAGAAGTGAATTTCTTAGCTTTACTTGTCTTAGCCCTGTGTGTTGCTGCTGCATACCATTAAATGTTAATTATCATTAATCTGAGACCTACTGTGTGTGTTCCCAAGCATGACACCTTTCCAGCCTACAATTCTGTTCCATTCTACACAGAGAGGAATTTAATGTGATTAACAAGTCAAAAGGACAGAACTATTTGACACCAGTTGTGTAGAAATGACAGCTTTACAGCAACTGCACCCAGACATACCTGAAATTAATCTAGGTTCAGCATAATACATTTGAATACTTAAAAACATATGCTCACAGAATACACCCCACTTCTGATGATGCAAGAATTCTTAAAACTGCTTAAAAAATTACCTGAGCAACTATAAAAGGTAAATGAGAATACATTACATTCATGCATATCATGAGTGCACGTGATAAACAAAGTTTGAGCAAAATCATTTTATGAATTTTACCTTTTCTTCTCTTTTCTGCTCAGATGATATGAAGAATCTTCTTTGCTCTAAGGGTGCAGAATCTCTTGATCCTCAGGTAGCTCTGCCAGGGAGGTGTTACCCACACAGCAGTATTCACCAGATGTAAAACGCAGATATCACTAGGTAGCTGTGTCTCTTAGCGGAAGCTTTGACTTCCTTAGACTTGTATCACAACTACTTCTCTCCTCAGAGTTCATCAGAGATAGTCCCTTCAAGTCAGAAATAGAATTAAACACATGATGTTAAAAAAACCCCATAATTTCCACTGGGAGACTGATTACTGAGTTAAAGCATTTTCTTTTCATCCAACAATCATTAAAACTGATGTCACTAAGCATAGATGTCACTCAGTTCTCATTCAACTGAAACTTTGTTATTTTCTTAATCTCAGAAAAAAAACTTATGAAAGAATCCTCCGTAGAGAGCAGAGAGGAGGCAGGCGCTTGGTGGGTGTGTGGGAAGTGTGTTTCTAGTCCTTCTCTGACAGATAACTAATCTTGCAAGTTGCATTATGTAATTGTAGAAGAGTTAATCACTATTGCTTGATCTTCCTGACTTCTGCTTATCTTACTTCATTAGAAACTAAGGCATGTTAATTCACACTACCTTTTTGCTTGGTGTTTTCTGTTGCAGTTGTATACACAGCAAATCTACCTCCTAACACTGCCCAGCACAGAATGAAACAGTGGTCAGAATACTGAATAAGAAGTAGGATGTGTGCACGTGCGTGTGGTCTAAGGGCAGAGCGTGCAAAGTGCTGAGGTTTACCAAGGCTCTCCGTCACAGTAGGAAGCTCAGCAGCTTCTATGAATTCCTCCTGAGAGTGAGATGGGCCTTATTTGTCTTTTGGGGGCTTCTGAGAAGGGAGAAGAGAGCGCAGAGGACATGTGGCAGTCAAGCGGGGTGGTTGTGAGTCTGCCAACAGAACAGCTGTGCTGGCAGCTGGCAGGTGCTGGTCTCCTCTGTTTCCCAGAAAAGGCCAGCCAAGCAAAAGTACAAGCCATTTCTCAACAGGGAAGCCTGCTTTCTTGTGATCAGCAGAAACTGAAAATACACAATGAGAAGCAGAAACAAGAAATCTACAGAAGGTGGTAGTGAGAGTAGGAAGAATCAGACATCTCTGTCCACAGGAGTTCATATGTTTTCTTATTTGCTCTCTGGTGTTATTCCAGACGCAGGTATAGCTTTTGTTCAGTTATGCCATTTGCTACTATCTCATATGCCTCTGACACTGTTACACTGCCCAATAACTTCTGTTTGGCTGAAAAGATTGATGTGATTGTGATGTGTAAACCCTGAAGCATGAAATGCAGGATCTACTGGTTTCAGGTTTGCCAGAATAAAACAATTGTGTGGGAAGGACCTTGTCAGTCATCTTTCACAAGCTGTGTCTGTAGATTTTTAAATTGATCTATGGGAGACGTTCGTCCTGCACAGGTTATTGCTCTGCAGATCACTTACATTTTTTCTTCGGTTTACTAGCAGTCCTTAGAGGATGTGGACATCAGGTAAGCAGACAACAATGTTGTACCTGTTTCATCAGTTCTTCTCACAGAAACCAGAAGCTGCTCCTCTTGCTGTCCTTTGTCTCTGTAAGGGCCTCCTTAATCTATTCTTTGACATGTTGTTGCACTAGAGCCACAAGTTCAGCTCTTCAGCCACAACAACTATGACAGAAATCTTTCTTTAAGTACATGCTTTTCAGGAAAAAAACACCCCTTGCTCTTTACAATGCTTTCTTAGGCATTGATGTTTCTTAGTTCTGGCTGTAAATTTTTTCTCCTCAATAAACCACCATGCATCTGCATGCTTATCTTGTCCCACTCATTATTTTCAGCTCTATCAAACTAGATATCTTCTTTGAATTTCATCAGTGAGGATTTTTCTTGATTTCCAGATGAAGAGGTGAATAGAACTGAATCCAGATACTAAATCTCTTTGACCCTTTAAGAACCCTGTTTGGTTAAGGAATGATTTCCCATCAGCAGCAACATTTTGCAGATGTGTTGACCATCATCACCAGTCTTTCGAGACCTATCCTTAGCACACATGCTGCAGCTCAGATATGCTTCTGATCTTTCAGGCATACTGTCAGGAGGGAAAAAGTCTGCAGCCATGTGAATTCCAGTTTAGAATGATCCATATGGCACTAATTTGAAGAAAGCACCTACCTGGCACAGTGCTTTTTGCCCAGTCCATCTTTGGAAGGCTTTCAAGTAGGAAATGCACCTTCCATAATACCAACACACTTCATGCTAAATTGCCAGATGGGAAGGGCTGTCTTCATAGGGAAACTGAGCAAGAATGTTTCTGCAGAAAGAGGAATGCTCAGCCAAAAAAAAAAAATAGAGAAAAATGGTTGCAGTTACAGATGCTGAAAATTTATGATGTCTGAACTCCAGAAATGAAGATGAAAAAATTTATCTGCCAGTTCATGAAAATCAAAAGGATGTGAATTAATCCTGAAATACCTTCTGATGGCTTCTGATGAACAGAGTTCCTGGGAGATCCTGCAGGGAAAACTGGAGAGAAAATGGAAAAAAAAATCTCTGAGCAAACGAGACAATGCAGAAAATAGAGGAAAGACCTTGTGAGTGCAGGTCCTGCAATTGCTTGGGGAGAGAGTGGAAGGGACTGAGTACAGCTGTAGTCTCCAGTAGGGGAGCTCTGAGGTCCCTTGTAACAGCTTGTCTTTTTCAGATGCTTCTTGGAGAACCTGGCAGAGACTAAGAAAAGGAAAATGGCAGGAGATGGCAAGATTATGGGGAAAAGGGAAAGCATTCTCAGCCATGGTGCTGTAAAACTAAAGGTTTTGCAGGGGAAGAGAAGAAGAGAAGAAGTCATTTTACTCTTTACTAACAGGTATCAGGACATGTGACACTGACCAAATAAATCACAGGCTGGACCAAACCTGATTGGCCCGACTGGAAGGAGATTAACCTTTTATATGGGATGGTGTGTGTGGTGGCACATTAAGTGCAACAGGAAGGAACATAATAAAAGCAAAATGTGGAACAACCCATACCATAAAAAACTTTGCTTTTCACCTAAAGGTTATTTCTGCCCCTCCCATCTTTTATGGCAAGTCTTATAATTAATTTGCCACTTTACAGGAGGCATAGGAGTTTTGCCCAAGGAAGAACTGGAGATAGACATTTGCCTAACCCACTAAGTAGATAGTAGACACTTACAACTGATATGCCAGTGCACCATCCATTCTGTCTGATCTCAGCGCTGGCCAGGGATGGATTATTCAGACTAGTCCTCATTTGGAAGAGGCTGGCCCACAAGAGAAGAAGATGACAGTAAATAAAAAGGGATAACTATTGCAAGAATTGGTATTATGATTGATTGCGTGGATCCAGGCTGCCAAAGTCACAGATGGACAAACATTTACCTTTCTTATCAAGCCATTCTTTCCACCAGGTACCCAGCTCCTTTGTGTGTTGTCTGGCCTTGCAGGGTTCTTCTTTTCCAATTCAGGTGAATTTGGATCACAGTTTGCACATCTGTAGCTCCCATTCTTCCTTGTTAGCAAAGTGTGTGCGCTACCAGTTCATTGTACAGTTCCTTTCTTTGTAATTTCTTAATGTATTCCAGATTTCCTAAGCAAAACAGAAAGAGAACTTTAAAAGGGAAGTGAATAATTTCCTAGGTTTAGAGACAACCACTGTTGTTGTTTCTCAGGTGATTCACTCACAATTTACTTCAATCTTTTTGAATGCATGAATTCCCTTTGGCTAAGATAGCTGTTTGTGCTGACAAAGAAATTATTTAAGCCAAAAACCTCTTTTCCTTATTCAATGCTATTTCCTTGCTGCAATTCCACTCATTTTTTTCTTTCAGTGGACCAGTCCTGTGCATTCTACTGTTCCTATCCTCTGGTGATTCTGTGAATGGTGTCAGTCATCCTTTTCCTCAGCCTAATTTGCTTTCTTTCTACATGCTCTGCTTGCAAAGCTGCTATAGACAGAACTCCTCATTTAAAAAAAAGAACTGAAACTTCTCACCTCAAACATGACAGAAATAGTCTTTTTTATGCTGAATTTTACTTAAAATAAAAACCACTGATGCAAAAAACATCAGGGGCACTTCTAGGGGTGATGAGGTTATTCTTCTTAAATGTGAAATGGCACAGCAGGGAGCTTTCTTTGTCATGTTCAGTGATCTGTGAAATGTCACCAAGCAGTTTGTACAGGTGCGTAAGAAGTCTGGGCTGTTTCCACTCTGAGGAGCAGCTGATACCTGAGATTGAAAATTTTCTTTTCCTAAATGTCTCAGTCATCACTATGAGGTCCTCTTAAAGTCGGGTCTTCCCGAAAAAAAAAAAAAAAAAAAAAGGCTGTGGTGAAAGCAGAAGTGTTCTCAGGCCACTTTTGTGATGAGTCTAGATAAGAGGAAGAACGAAATGTGGTGTAAAGGCTTTGTGTTCTGTGTGCTTTGTGTTGGTGCCCCCAAGTCTCAAACACTTCAGTTGCTGGTAGCCTTTAAAATCTTATTAAATGTCTGGCCTTATCCTAAACATCTACATCTTCAAAGCCTCTTCTGCCATGCTCCTTCCAGACAGATGTAGTATAAAGGATGCTAGTTAAAAAAATTAAAGTATTTGCAGAGGATCAATAGGGAGAAAGAACTAATACTTGATACTAATGATTACTAATCTTTCCATGTTTGCTAAGGCCCAGGCACTCTGTTATCTCAGGAAAAAGCTGTTTCACTGCAAGTCCTGTTCAACACAATCTGTACAGCCAAATTATACAACATTCAGTTCACTTTTAGTAGCAGGGGAAACCACTCAGGACATCAAAATAAAACTGTGACAGGCTCATTGGAGCATCTCTGTCATCTTTGTGATTCACAGGATATTCTGATGTGCTTTGTGAATTGTTGGTGAAACTGCCTGTAGTTAATTTTACATCCACAGACTTTCATTTGCTCACCAGCAAATAAATAAAACCCCAGAGAAACTGATGTTTCTTCCATCAGCACAATGTAGTGACTAATTTTTTCTTACTTTTCATAAACATATTTTTTACACTCTGTACTTGCTCATC